CGTCTGTCTTTCGCGGTACGGAATTAAGGCTCCAAGCCCCGCTGCCTGGCTTTATTAGGAGTAGATGGGCGGAGCTGGAGTCCCTAATTAGGAAAAGCTTTCAAGAAAGATACGAGTCAGCTGCGTGGACGCAGGGAAATACCACAGGTGTGAATTTCACAGTTACCACTAGAAGAAACATGGTTACAGGTAAGCAACCTTACTTTCTTCTTCTTTTTTTTTTTTTGGTTCTTTGCAGTTCTACATAATTCAGTTTGCTATCTAAAAACAGACTTGCTTTCTGACACAAAACTCGAGATCCTTCTGCATTAATGCCATTTTCCCATTATTCAGATTAGTTGTCTACCTTTGGGGAAATTGGGCATGTTTCTTCCTATTTCGGTAAATAACAAATCCCTAATAGTTTTCTAATTATTTTTTCATTAGTTTGTAGTGATGACCAATTACCGATATTTTGGAATAGCGTGTATCTTGATATTTATTTACTCGTGGTGTATCTCACATCTTTAACAAACATATTTTTGAGGGGCAGCTAATAAGAATAATAAGCAACAAGTTGAAAAACACTGGTAAATTCTGAAAACCTAGGGAAACAGAAAATATTTGACTCTAGCACTAAAATGATGGTAAAGGCATTGCAAAATGAACGGCCATTGAAAAGCTCCTTCTAACCACTGCCTTGTGTATTTCAAATGACACACACTCTGAAAATGGCTTCAGATGATTAATTAAATAGGCAAATGGATCTGGGAGAAAGTATGTACATATTTAAGGCTAAACTGGATAGCATTTCACTGGTTAAAATGAATACTTTGAATTGAACTTTGGCACTTAAGAGGAGTCACTTCTTCAGTGTGAGTGACATACAATCTGCCCAGTATGATATCTGTCCACATTAGCCACAGTGTTTTGGACTGGCTTCTGCTTTCACATTTTCTTCAATAGTAGCCCTATGTACTGTAATCCAAATAAGTAGCACAACTGGCACTTGAGTTAATGTGGAACAGCCTATTAATATTTCACTTTGGCAGCACATGTATTTCCCCTGACTCTTTTTTTAAATCTATGCATCTATTCTTAATCTTGGCTGCTTCTGGATGCGGAAGATTTAGTTTCTGTGGGGTGTTACATGAGCTTGTTGCACATCTTTTTCTTTTTGCTTCATCATGACTGGCTGGCCAGACCCAGGATTCCCTAGGACATTTTTGGGTGATGAGCTATACGTTGCCACTTGTTACCTTGCTCATGGGACTTCTGTTATCCAGAACCATGGCTTGGACCTCGACCGGGAAGACACACGCTGAGCTGCTCAACAACCTTTACAGTGAGTACAGACAGCAACTCGTCTCTAGGGCTCATTGACCCCTGCTATACTGCCATGTAAAATCCATATTATCTGCTTTGAACTGGATTATATGGCAGTGTGGATTTATATAATCCAGTTCAAAGTGGATAATGGGAATTATCTGATTTGATAATCTGGATTATATGGCAGTATAGAAGGGGCATTTGTTCAACAAGCTACTGAAATACTGGGATATATGGGTAGTATAGAGTTAATTACTAGCTCTCTTCTAAAAAAAATCAGAGTTAACCCAAAGGAAATAGTAGAACAGCATATTCCTCAGGTTCGGGGGAAGAATCGGAATTACGTAGCAGCTGATCTGTCACTTCCAAATGTTTGCTGGCTCATGTATCTGTTCCTCTGCCCCAGAACATAATTTGAGCTGTTTGAGATTTTAGACCAAAGACCTATCTAATTTACTATCCTGTTTCTGCCATTATCCATGAGAGGAAAAGAGTACAGTAGCATCTTCCCACTCATGTACTCCAGCAATTGCTATTGAGCAGCATATTGCCTGTGACACTGAACATAATATGCAATCATCTTTAGTAGCTGTGAATAGTCATATACTGCATTACTTGGACTATTTTTATAGAGCTGTCCATTGAAGTCATAACAGTTAACAAAGCCTCTGACAACAAAGCAACTGCCTATGGCAGGTATAATCGAGGCTGGATTTACACTGCCATTTTATGCCATTTCAGGATGCTGATTAACTGCATTGAACTAGCAAATATGAATGTGGATTCATATTTGTGGACTGCATATAATCCAGTTCAATGCAGTGTGGACTGCATATAATCCAGTTCAATGCAGTTAATCTGCATTTTGAAACATCATAAAATGACAGTGTAGACCCAGCCTCTGACAACAAAACTTCTCCAGCCCAAATTCTAGTCTTTCATGTAACTTAACTTTTTCAGCAACATTGGCATTGGGAGGATGGTGAAGGATGATTGGAGAAACAACACAGTTTCACTGTCAGGTTGCAGGAACATGTCTTCATTAAACAATGTAGTAAACAAAATCCAAGCTGGGAAAGAGTGTGATTCTACTGTAGCCGATCCTACTATAGTTGTGCACACCTGTCCATACCAGGCAAGGTAACAGCTGCCTCCAGAATCCCTTACTGAGCATTCATGAGCAGCAAAACAGAAAAAAAAAATGAGAAGGGCAGGTAAGACTGTTTCATCAGCTCCCACCAACATATTTTAATGTATTTATTTGTCTGCCCAATAGGTGAAAGACCTATGGTCTAAGCATTAAATAAACCATGTATCTAACATGTTAAGAAACAGAGACCTGTTAGTTTGGCCACCAAAAATGGAAATCAAAAGTGGTGAAGTAAAGGAAGGCATCTTTGAATGCATTTTGGAAGAAGCCTCCAAATGTTATCAAGAAAGCGCAACATGTTTGCTTGCTTATGCAAGATTTACCTGAACATTTTGTTGCTTTTCCAATGTATATATTGTTTGTTCATTTTCAATTAAAAGTTGACAGAAGTATGTCGTGGATAAGTATCTGTTTCTATTATTTTCATGTTTCCTAATACTGTACCAATTTTTCTGTTAAGTAAGTATACTTTGTTAATTCAGGGTTCCATATGTTGGCTATTATTACAGAGTAGTAGAAAATTCCATGATTTACTAGTGCGCTATGTGAAAAAGTATTGTTGAAGGCTTTCATGGACAGAATTAGTGAGTTTTTTGAGCAACATTCAAAAAACAGGGGAGTTCTAGACAAAATTTAATCAGGACCAGCTAACACCTCCCAACAAAGGATTCCCCTGAGCAGCAACCAGCCAGGTTTTGAAGTTGCAAGGCCATTAAATGCTAATTAAGGTGGCCATTTGCAACATTCACACTTGCCTCAAGCAGACAAGAGTTCTTTCTTCCACCCTGAACATTCCACAGCTATATAAAACTCACTTGCCTAGTTTCCAACAAACCCCGCAACCTCTGAGAATGCCTGCCATAAATGTAGGTGAAACATCAGGAGAGAATGCTTCTGGAACATGGACATACAGCCCGGAAAACTCACAGTAACCCAGTGAAAAAGTATTGCCTTTTTCTTTATTTCCCACTGAGTAGTTCCAGGTTCCAATATTATGAGATGGTAACCACAAACCATAACGTGGGGTCATCCAATGAAATATCATATGGGTGATAGCTCAACTAACTTACTACACAGTAGGCTAACAACTCCCTTTTTGGAATGAGTCTGGTCGATGTTTAGTTTTGTACAAAACTATGAGGAGGTTTTTTTTGGTATTGACAGAAAATGAAACCAGTAAGTTGAATGACTTTGTTCCCAAACTGTCTAAATGATCTGGATCCCATTGAACTACTCTCTCTGTTGTTTTATCTCTGCTTTTGTAGAAAATGGTGTGATTAAGTCTCAGCGTGTTTTTGATGTGTTAGTGGCCACAGACAGAGCTCATTATATCAAGTATTTCCCTTATATGGATTCTCCTCAGTCAATTGGTAAGTAATGGCAAAAATTGTTATTTGTATGCTCTTTTAACCCCAAATCTTAGCTGCAGAACTTCATCCTGGAAATCATACTTTTCACACATTGTAGCCTATTTAAAGCAGCAACCCTTAAGTCTCTGCATTGCGTTGCTTTAAAAATGCTCAAATTATTATAGTTTTTAAAATAAAAAGCAACAACTGACCGGTGGCTTTCTTTTCAGGGTACAAGGCTACAATAAGTGCACCTCACATGGTAAGACAAATTACAATATCTGTTAAGTACTAGATAAACTCAGTCCCAAGTGGATCATAAGCCATGAATGTGTAAAAATGCCTTAGTCTGAGACAGAACATTTTGGATCTAACATAATGCTATTTTCTGTGGATGTGGAGTGCATATGTACCTTTTGAAATCACAACTGTATCCATGAAAAATATTTGATTATAGTTCCTTCCTAAGAAATTGTGCTAAGCATCTGCCAGGCAGTTTACTGTGCCACAAAAGTGTTCAGAGGTTTATGTTGCAGGTGATTTTCAGCTGAATTTTTCCTGGTGCTAGGCCTCATTTCCTCTCATGCTTGCATTTCTCAAGTAAACATAAGAACGATTTTTTAAAAACTGGAGTATAGTTAAAGGGTTAGCATCTCTAAACACCTCATAAAATTGTGATAGTGTTTTGTTACACCATTTTTGTCACTATTGGATGAAAAGATCATGAAAATCAGTGCGAATTAATGTTTGTGGTTTCTGCAGCATGCTCATGCCCTTGAGTTACTGAAGGAGCAGTTAGTGGAAGGAGCAAAAGCCCTGGATGTAGGGTCAGGAAGTGGATACCTTACAGCCTGCTTTGCTAGGATGGTAAGCAGATCATGCATTTCTTGGGATTCTGTAGTAAGAAAAAGCAATGCCTCTCTCTTTCTCTGTCTCTGATTTAAAAGCCCCACATATTTGCAATGCTTTTCTAATCAGTCTTATAATTGATACTGTATCTGTACAGAGAAAGATCTAGCTTCAGTGATATTTACATTTAAGCAAATTAAAGGGGATGTACCGAAGTAACATACCTTGAAGAAGTGTGAGGCTACAATTCTAAACATATTTTTCTGAGGATATATCCCAGTGAACTTAGTGAGACTTATTTTAGGCAGAAATGTAGACATAACATTATAAAATACTATTCCATTGAAGTTACACACTTAGCACACTACATCTCTATGAAGAATTCATGACAGGTATAGTTGTGAAGATAACTGAATTTTGTAATTTATTTTGCTATTTCAGGTATTTTGAAACTTACATTGGCTTACATTTAAAATGAAACTACATTTCAAAAATCTGCCCTGGGTGTATTTTTTTTTTAACCCTTCCGTAGCAGCAATTGAGAACCTATGTGGGCTAAAGGGCAGTGTTAATGGAAGTGTGAAATCCTGGCCATTGTGTACAAATGATAAGATGTTATCAAGTAATTCTTGTAAGGAAAATTCTGTTTTCTGAATTAATTCATCTATTGTAGTAACTCGTATTGAAGTGAATGTGGCTGTTGTTACAGGTGGGCCCAACAGGGAAAGCAGTGGGCATTGAACACATTGAAGAGCTGGTTCATGAATCCATCAGAAATGTCAGGGAAGATGATCCAACTTTGCTGAGTTCTGGACGAGTAAAACTTATAGGTAAGATCTCTAGTTTGAAGCCTAAATACTTGTGAAAACTTCCTTTGTGAGAGCAGTGTTATTCTAGCAATTATGCCGAAGTACATTTTCTGAAAGGTACATAGGCAAGTGGATTGCTGCCAAATGTTGCTTCACCAACATTTTACAAAATTTATAATTAAATTCCTTTAATGTTATATTGGATTGAGATTAAGATTGAGAATATTGCCTCCCATTCTGAATCCTCCGCCATGTCTCAAGATCAGCTATGGATTAAAAGTCATGATCTATTATATGAATAGTGAGGCTTCTTTTTCTTGTATCATTTAAGAAGCATGCTAATCCCTCTTAATTTTGCTATCTTTATTGTATCATATTTATAATAAAACTAGAATTTAAAGTTTACTTACGGTACTTGTAAATTTCATTAAAAAGGAAATACATGAACATAAGCATTAATCTCAACTCCAATCTTTCTAGAAAATTAATTATTTTTTTACTCAACACAACAAATTCATATTTTCCTAGAAGTAAGCCCTATTGATTTCAGCAGAGCTCATTCCAAAGCAAGTATGAATGGGATTGCACATTTAGATCTACATTTGTAGGCCCACATTTTCTATGCATGCACACTTGGAAATGTCTTATTTAGCCCAGCATTAATTACCAGTAAATATGGATACGATTACACTACAAGATGTGAAATATCTACTAAAATAGCTGACATTAAACTTGGCTTTTCTTTCAGCTTTTTGCTCTTTCCAAATTCTATTTAGCCTGGAAGCTCAGTGTCAAAGAGCAGTGTTTCCCCCAGTTGGATTTCTCCATACTCTGTTTTAGGACCCCAGTGCTAACATAATCTGCATACCAGTCTCTTCTGCATGTAGGTATCAAGTGAAAGAGAGGCAGAGGAGGACTGTTTAGGAGAAGCTGCCATCTGAACAAGAACCTTCACTGCTCATTCTCTCTCCACAGTTGGGGATGGCAGGAAGGGGTATCCAGAAGAAGCTCCTTATGATGCCATCCATGTTGGAGCAGCTGCCCCCACAGTGCCAAAGGCGGTAAGAAATAAATACCCTTGCCTCTTTTGTCCCTCAGTGCTGGCTAGAACCTTAAGATGTATTTAATTCTGTATTTATTTTGCAATTTATATCCCGTCTTTCTCTTGCCAAGGGATTCAGGAAAGCTAAGAGACTCCACTGAGAAGTCTGTGAAATCATGTTGAACTTGTACTTACAGCAAACCCCCATATCCCTGGGGGATATGTTCCTGAGCTTAACATGGAAACAGGAAACATGGGGTAATGATGAAGCCAATTGAAATGAATGACTTCCTAGAAAATTCCTAGAGAGGTATCCTCTGTACACAGGCTTCTGTAAAAGTGTTTGAAAAATAGGGTGGTGGAGGCAGTATAAGGATCTTGTCTTAAGCAGAATCATAGAGTTGGCAGAGACCACATTAGCCATCTAGTTAGTCCATGTTGATTTTTAATAATCACAGCATTCCTTTCTAAGTGATTGCAGACAGCCTCCTTAATTATTTACTCCAGAATCTTTTCGGGTATTGATGTCAGGCTGACTGGATAGTAATTGTTAGGGTCCTCTTCCCCCCCCCCCCACCCCGCTTTTTAGATAGGGACATTTGCCCTCTGCTAGGACTTCTCCTGTTCTCCAAGAATTCTCAAAGATTGAAGAAACTTCTGCTAGTTCTTCAATATGCTTGGATGTAGTTCATCTGGCCCTGGAGACTTGAATTCGTTTAGAGTAGCCAGGTAAATCTTGACTACTTCTTCACCTATTTTGGGTTGCAGATACCCTATTGCCTCATCTGCCTCATATTGCTCAGGTTGAATACTGATTTCCTTTTGAAAGAAGACTGAGACAAAGAAGGTGTTGAGCAGCTCTGCCTTTTCCCTATCCCCTGTCATCATTTCACCATCATATCCACATAGAGGCCCTACTGTTTACTTTTTCTTTCTTTTTCCACTGATATAACAAAAAAAAACCCCTTTTAATTGTTTTTAATCTCTCTGACAAGCTTGAGCTCATTTTGCGCTTTAGCCTTTTTGACCTTTCCTCAAGTCAGCTCTCCTAAAGTCTGGAATGCATGTCTGACTTTTCTTTGTTTCCCCTTTCTTCTGTATCACAAATCCAGGAGGACATGGTCACTCCTACCTAAGAATCCCACCACTTCAACTCCATTTGCCAGATTCTCATTGTTGGCTAGGATCAGATTCAGAATAGCTGATTCCCTTGTTACCTCTTCCACCTTCTGGACAATAAAATTGTCTGCAAGGCAAGTGAGAAATTTGTTAGACTTTGTACTCTTGGCAGAGCTTGTTTTCCAACAAATATCAGAATAGCTGAAATCTCCCATTACTGCTATATCTCTTTTTTCTCCATGTTTGATCATCTGTTCAAGGTTTCATCTAGTTCTTAAGTCTGGCTTGGAAGTCTGTAGTAGACCCCCACAACTACATCTTTTTCAGCTCTTGTTCTCTTCATTCTTATCCAGATACTTCTCAAATAGTTTCCAGGATTGAAGTCTTGCATCTCTTCACAGGTGTAAACATCCTTGACATATAATGCTACTCCACCCCCTCTCCTGTTTAGCCTATTTTTCTGAATTAAGTTATACCCCTCCATTGCTACATTCCAATTATAGGACTCATCCCACTAGGTTTCTGATATGAACTGTTTTGTTGTGATAAAAGTTCCAGTTAATCTTGTTTATTTCCCAGACAACGAAGCCCACGGGATGTTCCTGTTAGCAATTTATTTTTAGATTATTGTCCTCTCACTGCTTGGTGCTTGTTCTGTTTGTCCAACAGCCTTTTGGCTATTCTCTTCAAGCCTTGATGAACTATCATTTCCAATGATGTTGTTACCCTCTCCCACACAACCTAGTTTAAAGTCTGCATGATCAAGTTTACAAGTCTCTCAGCAAAAACATTCCTTCCAACTTTTGTGAGGTGCATGCAGTCCATCCCGTGCCAGAAGCCCATCTTCCTGAAAAAACAGACCATGGTCCAGGAAGCCACATCATTCTTCATGATACATTGTATCATTCTAAAATAAAATACTGGATAATTTGTTTGCTTAAAAAGTGTAAAAAAAGAAAAGTTTTAGGGGGGAAATCATTTTTTCTGTTACCCTGCCGACTTTACATTTGGAAGCATTCTGTTTTTCTTGCAAGACTAATGAGAGTTTAATTTTGTTTGCTTCTCTTCAATACATGGAAATTTCTCCATTTTTGTTTTGTTTGGGAGTTTTGGTTTTCTGTTTTGTCTTGTTAATCTTGGTAGTTGTTCTTCTGTCTTACCAGTTACTCAGTGAGCTGAAACCCGGAGGACGACTCATCCTGCCAGTTGGGCCCGAGGGTGGAAACCAGGTTATGATGCAGTATGACAAGACTAAAGACGGTCAGATTGTGGAAAAGCAACTGATGGGAGTGATATATGTTCCTCTGACAGACAAGGAGAAACAGTGGCCTCGGTAAAATATTAATAAGCTCTTACAATCCAAGGCATGATTAGATTAAAGCTTGTTTTTCCTAAGCCAACAACACATTGATGAAAAGAATCCTTCTGCTACTTGTTTTAAGCAAAACAAAACTGCTAACATGTTGTAGGTCAGAGTGGGGGAGAAGGTGGATTTGTAAGTGACTTTTTAGCAGATCACACAAGGCTTACAGACAGAGTCTTATTTAACAACAGAAGCAGCAAAATGTCTCTTGTTCCATCCTGGCCTGCATGCTGAAAAACAGAATGGTTGGGATGAATAGGACTTTTTTTGTGTGAGAACTGGAAAGCTTTATTCCACCATAATGCACCAGACAAATACTGAATGCAGGATTCTTGAAATCAAGTATGTAACAGTTCTGGTTGATGTATCTCAGGGCTGTAGCAAAAAAAAATATTCCATTAGCTTGAAGTCTCCTACACTGACTACACATTTCTTCAATATTCCCTTATATTGGGGAGAGAGAATGTATTGGAAACCTCAGAGAGAGAGAGAGAGAGAGAGCGCTTGAATAAAGCCTGTTATTTGCAATGCTATACTGCAAGCATTTTATCTTCTTAGAACTTAGCCAAAGTGGCAAGTCTTCCAAAATCATTGCATCTCAGTGGTAGAGCATGTCTCACATTTAATACTGTGATTTCATACGCACAAGAAAGGAAGTGCTTTTAAATGCAATACAGTTTACCAATACCATTGGTTCCCAACCTTTGGTCCTCCAGGTGTTTTGGACTTCAGCTCCCACAATTCGTAACAGTTGGTAAACTGGCTGGGATTTCTGGGAGCTGACATCCAAAACAACTAGAGGACAAAAGGTTGGGAGCCACTGCCTTATACTGAGCATGGTTGCTATGAGGCTACCTGTGTATTTCATATGTGAAAGCGTCTTGATTCCTTTTTTTGAATTGTCTCCTTTAAAGATTTTATCTTCTATATTGTAAATGATAAGACTTGACATTTACTACTTATCATTTTCTCCTGAATGGGACCTTCTTTTCCCTTAATGAAAACATGTTTCTTTAAGCTATGCCCCCCCCCCCCCCCCAAGCTGCTTCTTATCTGCCCACATTAAGTTGGGGGAAAGCTATAGCTATAGTGAGAAATGTCATTTCATCTTTGGGAATATTTTTCTCTCCAGCCAAATGTGAACACTGAATGTTTGCGGAAGATGTTAGCGTATGATTATTAGTAATGGTCAATTGTCTCTTTTTCCCCAGGGGTGAACTTTAAAAGACTTAAGTCTGTAGAGGATATTTGGAAAGCCTATGAGAACTATGTTTGCAAGGAATAGGAATTCACACGCTGTACGTGCTAATACAGTGTTCTGCTTTTTTGAATTGACTCTTTGCATTTGAGGTAGCATCAATATTTGGGAGAAATTAAGAAATCTCTCTTTCAGGCTAACAATGGACTCAATATCTAACTTCAAGAACTGCAGTTTGGAAACTAAACAACATGATAGGCTCACAGTCAAGAACTAGCATTAGTCTGGCTTTTCTACTTCATAGACTACAAATAAGCTCTTGTGTTCGCAAGAGTAAAAAAGGTAGTTGTGCTAGGCTTCTGTGTGCCCTTTTATAAATAAGGAAGCAGTCCTTATCTAGTTTCCTGATACCCTGAGGAAATCTTTTTGCATGGTCTTCTATTGGTGAAAACAACATACAGGATGTAACTTGTACTTTAACAATTTAATCTAATAAAAACAAGTTAAATCATGCTATTCTGTGTGAACTGATTATTTTAATAAGAAACAGTCTTACTCGGCTGGATCAGATGAGGGACTGTCTACTATAGCATGCTTTTTAAACACTGCCTTCTTACAAGATGATAAAAGGTCAGAATCCTAATAACTGTACTCTTGTTTATCTTTGGCATCTGACAATAGAGGTTTAATTCAGCCAACCTGATACAAAGAATGACTGTAGCCAATTCCTGTAGCCATTGGTGGTTCTTGTCAGTTATAAAGATTGACTTCTTAACCTTAATAATGGTTGCTGTTCACTACAGGCCAATGAATTGTACTGTTTTGGACCTTGTGCTGTGAGAAAAAAAGTCAAATGGTAAGTGAAGAGTGACATAAACCTGCTCTCTATGTTTATTGCAAACTCTCCTGGAAAGGCTTATATAATCAGTTCTCTGGGTTTTATTGTTTGAGAACATGCTGTATGACAAATGCTCTGCAGCTCTCTAGAGAAGAAATTATCTCACAGGCAGTTTGGAAGGCTTTTATTTCTCAAAGCACACAGTATGGTTATGAGCAAAGTTCCATTAGAAGTTGCTCACCTCATATCCCTCAGCCTGGCCCTCCCACTGACTGTGCCTACCCCGTTTCCATGGAGACCCTCCATCCTGGACAGCTCTCCCTCGCTTCAAGTGTGCTACTAGCCAAGGCGTGATACTTCAGGAAATAAAGCCCGACTGCTCATTGAAAGGAAGGATAGTAGAGGCAAAGTTGAAGTACTTTGGCCACATCATGAGGAGACAGGAAAGCTTAGAGAAGGCAATGATGCTGGGGAAAATTGAAGGAAAAAGGAAGAGGGGCCGACCAAGGGCAAGATGGATGGATGGTATCCTTGAAGTGACTGGATTGACCTTGAAGGAGCTGAGGGTGGTGACGGCCGACAGGGAGCCCTGGCGTGGGCTGGTCCATGAGGTCACGAAGAGTTGGAAACGACTGAATGAATCAACAACAACAACATAGAATCAAAGAGTTGTAAGAAACCTCATGGGCCATCCAGTCCAACCCCCTGCCAAGAAGCAAGAATATTGCATTCAAATCACTCCTGACAGATGGGCATCCAGCCTCTGTTTAAAAGCTTCCAAAGAAGGAGCCTCCACCACACTCCGGGGCAGAGTTCCACTGCTGAACGGCTCTCACAGTCAGGAAGTTCTTCCTCATGTTCAGATTCCCTTCTTGTATTTTGAAGCCATTGTTCCTTCTCCTAATCTCAATGGAAGCAGAAAACAAGCTTGCTCCCTCCTGTGGCTTCCTCTCACATGGCTATCATATCTCCTCTCAGCCGTCTCTTCTTCAGGCTAAACATGCCCAGCTCCTTAAGCCGCTCCTCATGGGGCTTGTTCTCCAGACCCTTGATCATTTTAGTCTCCCTCCTCTGGACACATTCCAGCTTGTCAATATCTCTCTTGAACGGTGGTGCCCAGAATTGGACACAATATTCCAGGTGTGGTCTAACCAAAGCAGAATAGAGGGGTAGCATGACTTCCCTAGATCTAGACACTATGCTCCTATTGATGCAGGCCAAAATCCCATTGGCTTTTTTTGCCGCCACATCACATTGTTGGCTCATGTTTAACTTGCTGTCCACGAGGACTCCAAGATCTTTTTCACAGGTATTGCTCTCGAGCCAGGCATTGTCCCCCATTCTGTATCTTTGCTGTTCGTTTTTCCTGCCAAAGTGGAGTATCTTGCATTTGTCACTGTTGAACTTCATTTTGTTAATTTTGGCCCATCTCTCTAATCCAGTGGATCTCAACCTGTGGGTCCCCAGATGTTTTGGCGTTCAACTCCCAGAAATCCTAACAGCTGGTAAACTGGCTGGGATTTCTGGGAGTTGTAGGCCAAAACACCTGGGCACCCACAGGTTGGGAACCACTGCTCTAATCTGTCAAGATAGTTTGACGTGTGACTTTCCCCGCAAGGTCTGATTTCCCTGTAGCTTTAAGTTGGCGTCACTGGACGAGCCCGCGTGGGATTGGCTGAGGAGGGCCCTGATGTCACGGAGGGTCGGCGTGGGGCAGATGCTTCTGCTGTTTCGGATGCCGCCTCATCGTTGGCTCTGGAGCGGAAGCGCGTTCCCTTGGCGGGCGTCTCTCTCTGAGGGCGGCAGCATGGCGGCGCTGCCTTCCCTTGATTCCGGGGACTGCCCTCCGTCGGCCGAGCGGCGCCGGGCGGAGAAGCGTCGTCAAGGGAAGGGGAAGGCGGAGGAGGAGAAGGCGGAAGCGGGCGAGGCGCGCTACGTCCCTCCGCCGAAGAAGCGCAGCGCGGGCGTCAGCTTCAACGAGGCCCACTTCGCCGAGACTAGTTACTACTTCGAGGGCGGCCTCCGGAAGGTGCGGCCTTACTTCTTCGACTTCCAGACCTACTGCAAGGGCCGCTGGGTGGGCCGCAGCCTCCTCCAGGTCTTCGGCGCCGAGTTCCGCTCCCAACCCCTCGAGGCCTACCGTGCCGCCGCCGAAGCAGGCCGCCTCCGCCTCAACGAGCGGCCCGTCAAGGACCTCGGAGTCCGGCTCAAGGTGAGCCCTTCGCACGCTTCGGCCCGCTCGCCCTCGAGGGGGTTTGGACTCCAACTTCCACAATTCCTAACAGCCCCGCTAGGCTGTTAGGAATTGTGCGGAGTTGGAGTCCAAACCCCCTCGAGGGCCGAAATTGCGTACCTGTATTACATTATAATACTATAAATATTATATGTATATACCATATATTATATTACATTACATTTCTGTGAATCCAGTAAACCGGTATGATCTATGCCCCATGTGTCAAACCCTAGACCCATAAGCTGAATCTGGCTCTCTGTGTCATTTCTGAGTTTCCAGTCTCAATTCAAAGTGCAGATTATTACTCTCCTCACTTCCACCACCGTCACATGCACTGTTGGTGGGGACGATGGAGAGGGCCTTCTTGGTGGTGGCCCCCCAGAATTGGAACACCCTCTCCAGGGAGATTAGGCAGGCCTCCACACTGTCCTCTTTCCATAGGGATCTGAAGACTTGGATGTTTAAACAACCCTTTGAGAACGTCTACCCCAGTGGTTCTCAACCTGGGGTCCCCAGATGTTTTTGGCCTACAACTCCCAGAAATCCCAGCCAGTTTACCAGCTGTTAGGATTTCTGGGAGTTGAAGGCCAAAAACATCTGGGGACCCCAGGTTGAGAACCACTGGCACTGCACTGCACTGCACTGCACTTTTATCCCATGCCCTGTTCCTTAGCTACAATGTTTACTATTTTTTTATTATATTAACATAATATATTTATTACAATGTGCCTCCTATGAACCATTTAGGAGCTTAAGATCATCTGAGGAGGCCCTGCTCTCGATCCTGCCTGCCTTGCAAGTGTGATTGGCAGAGACGAAGGATGGGGCCTTCTCAGTGGTGGCCCCCGACTACAGAACTCTCTCCCCAGGGATATTAGATCAGCCCCCTCCCTCCTGACTTTCTGGGAAAAAAATAAAAGACCTGGCTCTTTGAGCAAGCTTTTGAGAATGCAGTGGAATAGATAACACACAACTATGAATGATGAACATGGAATGGCCAGACGATGTTACAGGATGATACTGATGATTATATGCTTTAATGGTTGTTATTATGTTTTATCTTGATTGTTTTTAACAGCACTTTCATGAACGCCTGACATCGAATTGTGCCAATCTGTAACCCGCCTTGAGTCACCATATGGCTGACAAAGGCGGGCTATAAATATTGTAAATAAATAAATACTATCCCATTTCCTTGTCTCGTTTACAGTTTGGCCATGTCTTACGGCACTTGTCACCCTGGTCATTTGGGTGTTGTTCTGAGTTTTGAAACTGTTGTTTTTATATGCTATAGTTTTAACTTTATTGTATTGTACTGTGTGTTTATTTTATGCTGTGTCTCGGTACGTTGTGCCATATGTAAGCCGCCCCGAGTCTCTTCAGGGAGCTGGAGGCGGGGTACAAAAATAAAGTTATAATTTGATACATAATAAGATTAGTACACAGCAAATAAGATCACTATGCTGACCTTTGTATTTGATCACACATCAGACACTTACCAAGTGTCTAGGAATGTGTGTTGGATCGGCGAATAATGCATGCAGATCAGAGTAGGATGGCCTCTTGCAGCTGGCAGATGGTAATTTTGTTAGTGCAGATTGTGTTTAAGTACAGGCCAAGGTCTTTAGGCACTGCACCCAGTGTGCCGATCACCACTGGGTGCACCTTGACTGACTTGTGCCAGAGTCTTTACAGTTCTATCTTTAAATCCTCATAATTATTATTGTTATTATTATTAATTCATGTGTTCCTCTAGATCAGTGGTTCTCAACCTGTGGGTCTCCAGATGTTTTGGCCTTCAACTCCCAGAAATCCTAACACCTGATAAACTGGCTGGGATTTCTGGGAGTTGTAGGCCAAAACACCTGGGGACCCACAGGTTGAGAATCACTGCTCTAGATGCTTGACTACAACTCCAATATTTCTCATTATTAGGCATGACTGGAGCTGATGGGAGTTGTGAAATGGTAACATCTGGAAGGCTACATTTTTTTCTGTTTAGTCAGGAGAGTGGGGTTTGAATGTAGATGCAAGGCTTGTGGATATGATGCCTGACTTTGAAATGTCCTTTAACCTTTACCCAACCTCAGAGCCATAAGTACTGTTGAGTTGCAATTCCCATTATCCTCAGTCTGCATGGCGGATACTCAAAAGTGATGGGGAAGTTATCTTTGATTACCATCTGGAAACCCAAACTGGGTAAAAACTAAAGAGCGCCAAACTGTATTGGCCCTCTGTATACACACAGATTCACTGTCCATGGCTTCAACAACTCTTTGAAGGCAAATAATAAAAAGGATGTTGCCTTAGATGAAAATGAGTTTGGTTAAACCGCTGAGCTGCTCAACTTGTTGACTGAAAGGTTGGCAGTTTGAATCCAGGGAACAGGGTGAACTTCTGCTGTTAGGCCCAGCTCCTTCCAACCTGGCAGTTTGAAAA